TATATATATATATATATATATATATATATATATATATATATATATATATATATATATATATATATATATGTTTATTGAAGGTACAACTTCACAAAGCCAATGTACAACTAATCACTTCACTTGTATTGTGATTGTCATGGTGCAGCTGGTTTTAGGCCCTGTTGTCTTCAACTTTTTTCTACACTTTTAGGCATATCAAGGTCCCATTCACTCAATCTAATCTTCTCTTGTTTATTATACACACACAAACATTTAATAATAATTATTAAATAAGAAAATAAGAAAACGGTTGAATCACATGTCATTCACGCGACCTGAGGTTGTTGACTACATCCACATTGTTGGCACATCCTTACATTGACTATTAGCGTGATTGGACCATTTTCTTTTATTTAGTTAATGTTCTCGTTTGAACCTCCCCCCTTCCCCTCCCAGTTTCTGTGAGGTTCACTGGGAAACTCCCTAAAATTGAACAACATAGGAACACCTTGATAACCGTTTATCTGTCGGTATACACAAGTGAATACAAGTAATTGAAAATGTTTCCTAGTTTTTATGCAACTGTGCATGCTATGCACATGTGCATATTGGAAAAAATTACTTGTATGCACATGTGCATATTGTACAGATGAACGGTCATTAGGGTGTTCCTCAATTTTTCATTCTTTTTGTATATATATACCCAATAATATTCCAAATAAGGATTCTAACTAATAACTTTTAGCTTATTGGTTGGTAAGTATTAGTGATTTTGTAGCTGAGATCTTGAATTTGATGTTTTCAGTTGCATGTTTTCTCTGTATTATAACAAATATACCATGGGATAATCGAAAACTCGTCAAATTTGGAGCCAACTTTTTGGGAGATGGTACAAAATAGTCACACAGACTGCAAAATAAGAACAACTCACAAACCTTGGTTCGTATTTCGTTAGCTAGTTGCTTAAAATGATGTTTTGTTTAATTCTTGTGGTTAATTACATTGTTGTAGTTAGATATTTGTGTTGGTTTGAGTCTTAACGTTAGTTAGAGTAGAAAACACTTGCAAAACCCTAAAAGTATGGGTTTTCCTTCCCAGTATTAAAATAGTCACGATTTGTACGAATATGCCAAAAAAGTGTACCTTGCAAAAAGGTGAAAATAGTCTAACATTGGTTTTTTAAGATGGGATTCCTTCCCGTTTGGTTGGTTTTGTGATTATTTCAATTATCATCCACATTTAAACCATCTTACTCTAACGATTATATATCCAGTCATTCGTGTCTCGATGATATCAAAAATTGATGGCAACATAAGCTACGATACCTAGATATATATGTTTATACTGGATAGCCAATGTACATAATACATACATACCTAGATATATATGTTTATATTGGATATGTTTATATTGGATAGCAAATGTACATACATACATACATACATATGTATGTATTACTGGAAATCATAATATTGTTCAATAAAATACGCTGTAGATGTGACTTTACCTTAATAGGGCCCTTTAAGACACAATTTCCAATCACCTATCTCATGCACATGCAAATGCTCTCTCCTTCCCTCCCTCCATCCCTTAGGTAGTATATATAAGGATAAATGGTAGAAGGAAGGCATAGCAATCAAGTGTAGAGCATTTGATCAAAAAAAGTACTTTGAAAACTAAAATGGCAAAGTTGGGAAGTAGTAGTAGTAATGGTAAGAAAAACAATGGCATAAAGAAGCTTATGCAAAAGGGTCTTTTCTTGACCAAGAAAAGATCAGAATCGTTTTCTGGCCAAGAAACGGTCCCAAAAGACGTTAAAGAAGGTCACTTTGCAGTCATAGCATCCGATGATTACAATGAAAGGAAGTTTATTGTTCCTATCGCGTACCTTCGTTGTCCTTCGTTTCTAAGACTCTTAGAGAGAGCAGCCGAAGAGTATGGGTTCGACCATGAAGGTGCACTTATGATCCCTTGTCCACCGAGCGAGCTACAATGGATCCTAGAGGAACAAATGGGATCTCAAGAAGGTGGAGATTGGAATTCATGTAAAACCATGGTGGAAAGTTGTTAGAAATTATAAGCAATTACATTTTTTTTTATAGGAAAGTTAATGTAATCTTATTTACTTTCTTTTTCACGTGCTTATTATTGGTATATCTGTATGTAAATTCAGATGAGTAACGGTGATTCATGCCTTTCCAATGTACCATTTTTTTTACTATTACAAAGGTTAATCCTTGTTGAATCAATCTACTGATTTCTTGAACTTAACTTCTGCAATTGTATATATGCTGGTATTTATAATCAGTTCAAATTAATATTAGTTTACACCATATCTAATTTAAAATAGATAAAGCCTACAATACGAGAATCTGAAAGCAACATTGTCTAGGAAACGCTTCCGTTCAGTTATTTCACTTTTAAAAATGCTATCAACCTGACAACATCTTGTTCGATCAAAATTAGGTTACAATTCTCTTGTTGGCTTTTCTATTGAAAATGAATCTTTACTAACAAAGTCTTAACCGAGTAATAAGCATCGATAAAACCCTAGAGATCGATCTCTAGGGTGTCATAGTGATCTAATGCGGAAGATACGTATTTAGAACAATTGATTTGGCATAATTCCCGTCATATGTATATGAGATTGTGAGAGTATAATTAAGACACTATTTTTTCTTGTATATTATACGTATTTTTTTATTATTAGAGCATCTGTAATGGAGATTTCTGTTAAATCACGGGTTTTTATAAGAATTCGGGTATTTTATCTTGGTTTTGTATTGTTATTGTTTTTCTACAATTTATTCTATTTTTTAATCTTTCTATTAAATGTATTTATAAAAAATATTGATATGAAAGTGTAATTAATAATAATAATAAAATATATTTATTTATTTCGTTTGCTTTTTTGTAAAATTTTATGCTTAGATTCAATAAATTTAAACTTTAAACGAATAAATATATAAGTAAATAAATACGATATATATATATATATATATATATATATTGTCTTATTATTTAAAATACATTAAATAATGTAATTCAATAAATTAATTAATATAACTGTAACTTATATAAATTCAAAATTTTTACTTATTTTCGTTGAGATGCATGTAGCTTTTTTATAATACTTTTAAATATGTAAATTAAAAATAATATAAATAATGTAGATTAAAAATATATTAAATTTGTTAGAAGTTTAGTACATTTTGTTATAATAAATTTATTTTTAAAAACAGTAAAAAAATTATAAAAAAAAATTAAAAATTTATGATTAAAAGCAACGAAACCCATAAATTTTTTTAACTTCTATTTATTTATCATTACGACGTTTAATTGAATTTTATTTTATTGAATTCACATTTGATGTGCAACGGAAAAATATGAAAAAATAGTAATAACTCGATGGATGATTTAACAAGATGCGTTATTTCGACATATTTTTTATTAAAATTTTCTACTTACTACAGATAGATATTACAGTAAAAATATCAGACAAACATTTGTCATGTCCAACCAGACTTTCTTGTCATATTCAGACTAATAGAGTCATGTCTATGTACCAAATGCTATATTTTCCTCTCTAAAAGTAATGCCACATGGCATATGTTTTTCAAAAAGAAGAAGTTCTCACACACATTCTCATTCTCTCTCTCTAAATCCTATCGCAACACACACACACACACATAAATGCATACAACAAAAACGAAAGAAATTTCTTATTAAAAATGCTAAAATAACAATTACAAAGGACAAAATCAAAAACAGATTGACATATGTGAAAGTGTATTATGTAATAAATGAAGATAAATGATTCACAAACCTCATATATCAAATCTATAATTTACTCTAAATGTTTTCCGGTTAGATATAAAACGAAAATGGAAATGAATTATTAATTTTAAATAAATCATTTTAGGTATTATTTTCCTTTTTAATATATATTTTTTTTTAAAATATTCAATATTTTAATTTTATAAATATATTTTTATTTTTTTCAGTGAATTATAGTTGATGGGTAAATATGTAATTTTATAAATATTTTCCCTTTGTTTTTGTTAAAAAAAGACTCAGAAAACACCAGTTAACAGTCGATAAGTTCCAGCTACGATGATGGTTTGATATTTCTTTCAAGTTGGCTAAACCAAGGGCCCAATCACCTCATAAATTTCAGGGGGCTGAAGCTTATCCCATAATAATTGATTCAAGACAAATTAATAAATGTCTATGCATGCATATATATATATATATATATATATATGTATGTGTATGTATGTTTGTATGTATATGTATGTTTGTTTAGGATGGTTGGGTTGGGATTGAGTTAATAAATTTGTAGTTTGTTTACTTGGAGGAATGATGTCTGGAGAATAAGCAGCAGAAAATGACATTTCATGGCTTTAAATTTTCTTGCAAGCACATGCAAATGTCACCACTCCAAAAAAACCCATATATCCTTCCATAACTACTTTTTCCATTCGGTAAATTCTTCACGTCGGTCACATTTTTACCATTTTAATAACAATTCAAACATGTATGATAACGTTGAATAACAATGGAGCTTGATAGCCTTCATATACATACTCAGATGAAACTTGATGCAGTTTACCTCGTGCTCGGTGGCTGTAGCTATAACGACAAGAACGGAGACCTTGATTCAAGTGAGTTCGATATTACTGTTGGTGTGTTCTTTACGATCCACCAACAAGTTTGTTACATCTTGGAGTTGACCGGTTCTTGATTGCAATCTAATGTCGATTTCCCACCTCAAAATACTTCTCTTATGATTGTTTTTCAACGATGATGTAATCACCAAAGACGCAACCACCAAAGGATGGGGTTTATACAAGTGTTCCATAACCGGTCATCGTAGAAGAAATGTTAAGACAGATTATGCTTTTAGACCCAGACTGACCCCAGATACGATCCTTTGTGTAACCCTTCCTAATCGGCCGGTCCTTGTTCCCGGCCCCAATTGTGCATCTCTAAACAATCGTTGGTCATAAAGGTGGGGAAACAAGGACCACTGCTTCAGCTCACCAAAAGACCAGACTGTTTTGAACACCCGGACGGCCAAAATCCGGCATCCGAATTCACAATCATTAATGAAACAGTTATGAAATTCCCCCTATGATCACACCAATCTACAAATTCACAATCTTTAATGAAAGAATTGGCTTATGATGACACCAATCTACTGGTCTAACCAGATAAACCAGCCTTACTCCGTAAGTGCTCCTTGAAAGCCATTATGAGCCTGAAGTCATGGCTAACGAGCACCATTGCGCCTTCCCACTAATTTAACGCATCAGCCAGCGAGTTGATCGTCTCAATATCCAAGGGGTTACTCGGCTCGTCCAAAAGCAGCATGTTTGGTTGCCTATAGCCTAACCATGAAAATATCACTCGGCTTCTTTGTCCATCAGAAAGATTCTTCATAGGCATCACCTGCACTTTTCCGGTCAGTCCAAACCTGCCTATGGCTACCCTCATCTTCTCTTCCTCATTTCCCAGATACTCGCTCATGATATACGTCAAAGCCGACATTTCCAGATCGATTTTCTCTGCCAAATGCTGGGGAAACTGAGCAATCCTCAAGTGGTTGTGCCGTCTTATCATACCATCAATAGGAACTAACCCTCTAGTCATCAGCTTCAGCAGCGTGCTCTTCCCGGCTCCATTGGTTCCCACCAATGCCACCTGCGAGTCAAGGTCAACCCCAAAATCAAGATTCTTGTAGATGAGGTTATCGGGTGTGTAACCAAAAGAAACTTCCACAAACTATAGGACCAGTGGTGGAAGCTTGCCCACATCAGCAAATCGGAAAACCAGAACCTTGTCTCTAGAGACCTTTTCCGTAAGACCATCACGCTCCATTTCCGCCAGGGTCTTCTCCTTGCTCTGGGCCTGGCGGGCGAGCTTAGCAGATCCGTGCCAAACCGAGCTATGTACACTTTTAAGCAATCTGGTCCTGCTCCCATTTATACTGTTTCATCTGGTTCTCTTCTAGTTCGGATCGGGTCTGAACATACTGGTTGAAATTACTGGTGTACATCTTCAGTTTCTTATTTTGCATATGTATTATGTTGGTGCAGACGCCATTCAGAAAGTCCTGAGAGTGCAAGATCACAACAAGTGCGCTCGAACTTCTTCAGGGTTTCCTCTAGCCAAACACATGCTTCCAAATCTGCATCGAATAAGGACATCAACACCTTTCTAAAGTAGCTGATGAGCACTACAATAAAATCGGCTTTATAAAAAGCTAAATGTCCTAACCTTAAGCTAATATGACCAACCAATTGTGCGCCCTATGTAAAGAGGTTACAATTAGTTGATAGGATGTTTTGAATGTCCTAACAAGTTTTTAGGACACTTTGAAATAACGTGTCATATTAGCTTATTTATATGATGCTTGTTTCTATACAACATTTTTTCAAATAATGTCATATAGAAATACTAATAGAACCCTTCATGTCAACAGTCTAAAAGGTCAAATACGATGGATGAACTACAGATAACTTAAATAGCCCATACATATAGAACAAAAGTGCCATGTCTACAAACCTCCCATAGTTGAGCTCTAGCTCTGAATCAACAATAAGATCATGCCCATGAAAAGTAAGTGATAGAGACTCTATCTGCAATCAAAATTTAGAGGTCAGAATGTAAAATCAACGATGCCCAATCGGCCAGCATGGACAATTCACAGTCCAAAAAATACTTCCAGAATTATGTGAAACAAAGGGCACAGATTTTCTTCGCTATAAAAGAAAGCAGATGTTGACATTGTAATAAAACCAGACAACAATGATGACCGAACACCCTGATAACATACCCATCTGACTAGGAAATTGTCTAGGTGCCACCACAATCAGAACACCCTGATAGCCACACATCTGACTAGGCATTCATCTAGGTGCCACCGCAGCATCCAGCATATTCTTAACATTGAAAACAATCAAGGATCAACAAGAGCAGGAAATAGCATCCAGAATAGGAACAACAGTCAACAAGAATGCACTATCAGTGCCTATGAAGTTCGGGTTATTTAGCTAAATGGCCTTCTTTTAAATCCATGACCTTTTGCCAGGTTTCTAGGCAATCTTGTGCATGGAAGTGCCATTATTCTATTAAGTAGTGGCATTCTCAAACCTGTCAGAATGTCGTGGATTTTAAAAAAGAAAAATGTCAGAAGGTCGTGGATTTTAAAAAAGAAAAATATCAGAAGGTCGTTTGACCAAAGGAGCCTATGAAATTTAGTGTAAAATGAGATTTCGGCCATGAACGTCAAAAATGAACATATTAACAGTTAACCATTGACAGTTCTATAATGCATATTACCATCAAGTTACTATTTTTGCTTTTACTAAGAATTGGATAAAGGTACGATCTGCTAAACACTTTATGTTTAACTATAAATTGGAAGGTCAACTATGTGGATTTTTCAAATCATATATGGAAATTAAAAAATTGTACGATGATGATTGAGTTGGTTTGATCAAACTCCAACAATTCACCAACCTTTTTTAATTACAAGTTCATCAGAATTTCATCTTCTTCACTGACTCCAAACAGTTCCATAAAGAGTTCATCTTCTTCACCAACTTTCCACCACTGATGATGGCTTGCTTATGTCCAACTACAATCATGCCACAAATGAAGCCAAAGCATTTATATCCAGGCTTATTCTGAACAAATTCTGAAAATGAACTCAATCGATTTGAAAAAATATACCCAAGTCAAATGTGAAACAATCCCATAAAAAACATAGTATCGCTTGCAAACCAAACCCAAACTGAACTTAAAATGGATTAAAGGGTAGTCAAATCAAATTCCAAAGTGGGTTCAATTGGATCCAAGGTTGAATCTTAACCAAAACCCATTTGAACCCAAAAAATAAACTTCAACACATTCTCGCCAATGGAGGTGACTGTGTTAAGCTGCTGAAACAATGAGGTAAGGTAATGGACAGATATCTTTGCCTCCTTTATTTATGTTACAGGCATTTTGGTGTTTAAACAATTTATATAAAATTAACAAATACTACCTTTGTTTCACATTAAATTTACCACATTTCACAATCTAGCATAAGTGTCAGACTGAAAAAAAAAGGAGTCTTGAAAATGCAATCAGTACCAACACTTCTACTATATAGTAGAATATCAAGAAGACGGATCACAGTCATTCAATGGTGTAATACTGCACTTTGATGCATAATGCAATTAAAATATACTATCTTTCCAAGGAATAAAGCAAAACGAACGCAAAATAGTCATAACACTTTGACCAACATCCTAGGTGAGGTGGCAAGGAGGTTCTTAGGCATTCAGCAAACAGGGAACTAGATGAGCAAAACTATCAGCAAGGATTTAACATCACAGTATAGAAGCAAGAGCAACAGGAAACATTATCATCGACTTATTCTATTCGCACAAACCGAACACATGAAACTAAATCTATTCACATTCCATCGATAATAGGCATACTTCTCGCCCCATTGTTTACACCCATTGCCCCTATGAACACAAATGGCAAGACTATATCCATTTCCATTTACAAACAAATGATCACTGTATATATACAGATTAAAAGTGCCTATGATACAAGTGAATCATACACCCATAAATAAGGTTGGTCAATTGCAGCTCTCCTAACTCGATACTAAATTCTAAGATGAAATTTCCATGAGCCAATGTGGAATACACGAGGAATGTCCAGTAAGTGATCATCCATAGGTGAGATGAAGAGTTCCTAACCGAAGAACACTACCAAACCATGAGGTCTAATTCACCTAATACTTAAAACCATGATTACATATTCATATGCATCGTTTAAATGATAGCCATAGCACAATGGAATTAAATCTTTTCACATAGATGTGAAAGAGGGTTTTCTTCATTTGGACCAAATTGACTAATCAATCGGGGATTAGACGAAAGCCAATAATTTTCAACATCATGATGAAGATTCAATTTCGAGAGTCATACTTACCCGAATATCTCTAGTCAAAGGATGGGAACAAAGAACGCCAGTACACGTCCGATCAGAAATCGCAAGAGCCCCCATTCCATTAGCCAAGTTATCGGAACTCGAACTCCGATTCACCTTACCAATTGCCTCCGCCTTCTTCGACGCGGCAACAGCAGTGGCCTTGCCTCCTATCTTAACGGCAGCTGCAGCCTTCTTTTGAGCCGCCTTCTTCTTGCTTGCATCAGAAACCATCTGAAAACACAACAAAATCAAACACAGCCCAAGAAAGTATGATTTGATTTCAGATAATATAGAAGATATAGAGAATTTCGAACCCCAAATAGAATCGTAGAGCTGAAAAATTAGTGGGTTTGGGAGATGATCGAAGTTGACGAAATATATAAATGAGCCATGGGCAACACGTGGCATGTTACAGTTTTTAATTTGCTTCGTCTTATATAATATGAAAAAGGGTAAACTACAATTTTGGTCTATACTGTTCACACCCAACTACTGATGACCAAAAATGGTCCCAGATCTCAACAATACCGGTATAGTCGAAAATACTAAGTTCGATTAACCATTTTTATAACTGATTATGGTTAGTAGGTCCCGGTCTCGGTCCTAATCGGTCCTGGAAAAATATGTTTTCTTTATTTTTTTTATTGATAGGTTTTTAATATGTTATAAAATTTGTAATTGGATCACTCAAATACACTTTAAAATTGCATTTTATCATAATTAAAATTACATTGTTTTCAAAAAATACATTATAAAATTATTTGAAAATACACTTATTAATCATCGGTATCCCATGTCGAATTGATTTGAAGAGTTCTAATCTCTTGAATTCTTCTAATACACTTATTCACCAGGCTTTATGAATTTCAAATCTTGGACTTTCGTTCGTGTTCGACAAAAACTTGGGCAACTTGTTCATTTGATGCATCATGTTATTCACCGGCCATTTTGTAAGACTAAGAGAGAAATAAATGAGAATTGTGAAGTGGGACAAAAAACAAAATTCTCCTAGTCTTACAATATGTGAATTGTTCCATTACAATATTTTTCCCTCTTTTTTTATTTATTTATACGTACTCCATTAAAATATTGTAAAAGAGGGAGAATTGAAAGACAAAAAACAAATAAGAGATAGGGATATCGATGAACGGGGCCAACGACGGCAATGGTTGGTTAGAGAACGAATGATGGTAGGCGACGAGAGGGACCGATGTCATTGGGTGCGAGGGGTTTGAATGACAATCTTCTTGGTTGATTCGTGGATAAATTGTGGTGGCGTAAGGTTTGGGTTCGGTAAAATTGATTTAAGTTTTTTTACTTTATAACTTTTTTAATCTGTTACAAGTAGATTTTTAGGTTCAAAGAACGTAGATAAATAAAAAAGTTTAGGAACTTAATATCAAAATAAAAAAATTCATCGTGTTTTTTTGAATTTTTTTTCTTTACTAAGATAAATAAATAAATCCTTGAATTTAACAAAACATGGGGAAAAAACTCAATGAATTTTAATATATTAAGTGATCAGGTTTCTAGATATTTTTTTACAGAAAACAAACAAATAAATTAAAAACATTTCATTTCAGTTCTAAAAAAAATGTTAGAAACATTTGTTTTGTAACGATCGATTAATAAAAATGTAATTTAATTATTTTTATAAATCATTTATAAATAAAGGAAGGGAATCCAAATCCTACAAAACAAACACATCAATGATTTCAAATATCTTCAAATCCAAATCATTTTAATAAAATCCTACAAACTTAATAGAATCTAAGGAATTTACATTTCATCGTACCTGGAACTCGGATTCTTTACCAAACCTCAAAAAATAAACCAAACACGTAAATAAATCTCCATTGATCATTTCAATTCTTATGAATTTTATCAGATTCCAACGAACCAAACATTACCTAAATGATAGAATAATAAATTATATTTGATAGTGAAGAGAAGAAAATGGCACGTGAGGCATGTGATGTTGTCACCACCACCACCACCACCATGGTGGCTACTTAGCTCTGCGAAGTAGGCAATAGCCGGCCAATGAAAGGGTAAAGTGGCATCACCACCAACCACCATCATCATCACCACTTTCTCATGCTCATGAGTCATGCCTACATCCTTTTTAATTTCTATTTTTTTTATTTATTATACAAATTAATATTATAATACCCGAATAAATAAATAAATATAATTAAAATCAATATACGAATCTCAAAAAAGAAATCTTCAACAATTTATTTTAGGAGATCACACATTTATAGATTCAAACTAGCTAGGTCCATTTGTTAGAAACGTTAAATTATGAATCCAAATACGAATGTGGGTTGTTTTCGTTACTGTTAAGTCATTTTTTGTTTCGTTTTATGGTTTGTCCTTTACAAATTCTTTTGTTCCGTATGTTTTATTTCTCTTTTTTTATGTATTTAATTTTCATGAAAAAATATAAATGTTAAAGAACAAGTTTTTCATCAATATTCAGATGTAAAAATTATGTTTTTAATACAAAATGTATTTTTTATTTAAAGTAGTTAATTTATTGCAAGATATTTTCTATTTCTCAAGATCATCTTTAAAACAAATCCATAAATTAAAATTATTTATTTACATATCTATCATGTATTAATTAGTCATAAATTTGTATATTTTATCATTTAAAAGAAGTAAATTCATATTTAATTATTGGATAAAATTTAGAAATATGACTTTAATTATGGCATGGTTGGTATTCATACATTACTAATGATTATACGAGAATAATAGTTAAAGCAAGAAGAATAATAATTAAAATAAAAAATATAAGAAAAGATGTGAAACTTTGATTATTATAATTTTTTTTATTATGAACTATTTTAAATGAACTATTTTAATTAGTAATGGACGTACAGAGGGGCAGTTTGGATGCATGTTGTACCCACCTCTTTGGGGGAAGAAGTTTCTACATAAATAACCGCCGCCACTCTCTCCATCTCTACCTTTTTAATTCCACCACCATCATCATCATCATCATCATCCCATTTATAAATCATTCATTTCAATAATCTGGTTATATATACTCATCGCATCCCTACTCCATTAACTCTCGATCCATCACTCCAGCAATGGCGAAGGTACGTGGTTCTATACTTTTGATTGGTCTTATTCATCATTTCTAATTGTTGTGTTCTGATTATTTTCTTGTGGGTTTTGCAGAAGAAGAATCAAAACAACAACAATGAGAACGAGGACGAGAATCAGAATGAGAATGAGAATGGCGACGAAGGCTGCGGCGGTGGAAAGAAGCAGAAAGCCACCGCCACTGGTGTTACAGTGGTGGTTTTCAAAATGGACCTGCATTGCGAAGGATGCGCCGGCAGAGTCGTTAAAGCAATTCGTGCTCTGGATGGTGATTAAATCTCTTCCGTTACTAATTTCTTCGATTTATATTAGTATATATATTCTGAAGGTTTCTGTCTATTGAGTGTTAGTTTGTATGTGTGTATATATAGGTGTAGAGTCTGTGAGGATAGGTGACAGTGAGTTAAGCAAAATCACGGTGATCGGTAACCTCGATCCGGTGAAACTCCGGCAGAAGGTGGAGGAGAAAACCAATAAAAAGGTGGAACTTATTTCTCCAACTGCTAAAAAGAACAACGATGGTGACAATACCATCCAATCTGGCGGCGGCGGAGACAATAAGAAACAGCAAAGGCAACCACCATCTCTTGAGAAGCCGGCAAAAACCGCCGTCAAGAAAGACGAGAAAAAACCCAAAGAGGTACATACTTCATATCCGTATGAGCAACCCAAAATTCCGTATTGCTAGCCTGCGACTAATCCGATGTCATTTTGGTTTAATTAGATTCCGGTGACGACGGCAGTGCTCAAGGTTCCGTTGCACTGTCAGGGGTGCGTCCGGCGGATTCATAAACTTGTCACCAAGACTAAGGGTAATTAATTTCGGAATTCTGGTTTCTCCGATCAGTTTTGGGAGTTTTTTTTACAGTGATTTGACCGGTGTTCAACTTCTCAGGGTATATGGAGATGTCGATCGATAAGAACAAGGATTTGGTGATGGTGAAAGGGGCGATCGATATGAAGTTATTGGTGGAGGCTCTCCAGCATAAACTGAGGAGGGCTGTGGAGATTGTTCCTCAGAAGAAAGATGGCGGTGCCGGCGATGATGGCGGTGAGAAGAAAGGGAAGGGTGGTGGTGGTGAGAAGAAGGGGAAAGACAATGACGGAGAGGGGAAGGGCGGTGAGAAGAAGGGAAAAGGCGGCGGCGGCGGCGGCGAAGGAAATGATGGTGGTGGGAAGACGACAGAGGTGTTGAAGATGGAGAATCACGGAGCTCCAACTGTATTTCCGTATCCACAATATGCGTACGGGTCGGGTTATGCAGATTACGTGCATGCCCCTCAATTGTTTAGCGATGAGAACCCACATGCTTGTAGTCTCATGTGATGGACCAAGGCTAAAAATGTAAATTCAGAATCGGGTTGATTGTTATATCCTTAATTCTAATTTTTAAGAATATTTGACAATCAAAACGTTACTACGTTTGCTTATAAAAATTTAAAAGGGTATTTTTGTAATTTGAAGTATGGTGGCTCATCTGATTATTGTCAAATATGTTTTTAAAAAATATATAACATTAATTGTAGAATCGTTATATTGTAAGGAAAAAGAAGACAAATTACATGACAATAATAACGTATTTTAATTTAATTTTTATTTTAAAATTTGGATTAATGTATTTTTAAAACTTTTATTTTAGTATCTAAAATTTAAAGTTTTAAACATTTAATTAAGTACCTTGGTAAATGGTTATCTTGTTGATGTGACGAATGATGTGGTATTCAACTCAGTATTATTTGTTGACGTGACTAATAATATGGATTTTGTTAATCTAAAGTTAAAATTTAACTGATTATTTGGATACTTAAATGTTTAAAACTTTACATTTTAAATATCAAAATAGTAGTTTTAAAAAAGTTATCTAAAATAGAAAGGAAAAAGTCTAAAAATACCCAATGAACTTTAGTGCTTGGAATGATTAAGTCTTTGGATAATTTTTTGGAACAAATAAGTCTTTGGACAATTTAAAACATGTTAAATAACTCATTGGACAGTTTTTTTGAACAAATAAGTCATTGGACAATCCAAAACATGTTAAATAACCTCTTGGACTTTTCTAAAACCTGTTGGATACATTCTTATGACTTGTACAACTAGTTAATATGGTAAAATAGTAAAAAAAGTTCAAAAAAAAAAACCCAATGAACATTCATATTCTGAACGATTAAGTTCCTAAACATTTTTTGAACCAAAAAGTATTTAGATCTATAAAATTAAACAAATATAACAAAAAAAATACTTACATTTACAAAAAAAATTACATTTAAAAAAGATTTTTGATAAAATATATCTTAATTAAAATTAAAAGATATTTAATCAATGATTTTTCAAACTAAAAA